ATATTTACGTAATGTCTACCAGCTAAGTCTCCAAATTAGTAGTAAAATTTAAACTTATGATCTTATAAATTTTAGATCAAATCCTTGTAAATTGGATCAATTTTTATCTGTAATATTTGGCTTTTATTTCAAATATAATCATATAAAATTTGCATTTACTTAATATGTTAATATATTTTTGAAATATAATATATGATGGGTGCTGATGTTGATTCATGCCTGTCTCAAAAAAAAAAAAAATCCCAACCGTTAGCAGCCAAAAAGGCCAAAAAAAAGGGGGGGACTCAGAGCAAGGGCACTCAAAAAAATGAAAGTGGCATGACGCATCGGGACCTAATTTGAAGTTTCTAGGTCTCACTCATCACCGCTGGTCAGCGACAACCAGCAGAAAACATTGGCCATTGGATCAGATTCAATAAAATAAACGGCCAGGATCTATACCGAGATACAAAACAGGAGGCAAGAACCAGGAGAGGTTCCGTGCCCGAATCGGACTCCGGCTTGAAATTTCTCGTTTTCTTTTCCTCCTTTTATTTTTTTTCTAAATCATTTTTATTAATTCCATTAATATTGATATAAAAAAATATAACAAATAAAAATGTGTAAAATTTTAAATATATTTTTATATAATAAATTTAAAAAATGATATTATGATTTTTTTATGAAGATTAATTTTAAAATATTTTTAAAAAATTATATTATAATTTATGAATAAAATTAAATAATTTTTTTTGAACATAACAGGATCGGAGGAGTACGCTTCAAGAGAAAAAACAGCTAATTATGTTGATTTTTGATTGGTCACTCCTTTCCACTTCACGGGTTCAACCCGAACACTCGCTCGCCTCGAACACTTTCATAGCCGACAAAATTTTCTCCTCTCGACACGTGGACTCCGTCATTGCCATTCATTCATGCAAAACAATTCTCACTTTGGCGCTTTACACCATCACTCAGATTATTAGATATAGTCAAGGACGCTGGCGTCCATCGGTTCATGTCATACCCAGATTAATAGCATCCTCATTTTTAAAAAATTTATCTATTTACCGCCCACTTGATTTAGAGTTTAGAATAGAGGTAAGAATATGAGTTAATCTAAATCATTTAGATTAGGAAAAATACAAGCTTAGTTAGGTTGATTTAATTTTATATAACTTAAAAAAATCACAATTTAACCCAACTTTTAAAGGTTGATGAGTTAAGTGAATTAATTAACTAATTTATTTTATTTTATTTTTTAGTAAATTTTAAAATAATAAACCTAAATAAAAATGATGATGAATTCCTATCTAATATCACTCCATTATTTTTTTTAAGTTGCATAAAATATATAAATTGAGCTAATGAGGCCATGCCCATCAATTTATCAAAAGTTATGAATATACCATAATTCTTATTTTTTCATTTATTTTTTTATTTTCTTGAAAAAAAATGTGGGTTAAACATACAAGCCCTAATCCATTATAGTTAGTTCATATGGTTCATTGGCTATCCAGGTTGACTGAGAAAAAACTTATTTTTATTTATTTTTTTTTCAACTCAATCAAACCCTTATGAATGATTATTTGAACTAACTTATATAATATGATTCATATTTTCTGCTCTATTTTAGAAAGATGGATATCGCCAAAAAAACAAAACAAAAAAGAACAATGGTGGTGCTCAAAAAATTACGGGCCATTATCGTAATGCTTTATGCTTTATCACTATAATATCAAATATATCACATAATTAGTCATTTGACTGTATTCGTAAAAATATGTGGATGTAAAATCATTCATTGCGTGCATACTTTTATTTTATACATTACATGACAATAATTTCAACATGGCTCCTACTATATGCCAGCCTTACCACGTGGTCAATGCTGCGTGCCTACTTTTTGTAGATATTGTGCTTTAGCATCTAAGTATTTTCTATCCAAGGGGTGGATCGCTACTCTACACAATTTATAAAACAGACCACGTTAAATTCTCTTGCATAATTTATTCTACCATTGGATTATTATATTTCGCGAAAATCTAATTATTATTTCTAATAAAACTATACATGACATGCCATTAAGCTCAATTCAATTACTATTTAGAAATTAGAATGAAGTGGTAGTATGTGGCAAGTGTTCTTGGACCTTAAAAAAGCCAGTTAACAGATTCAATTATGGAGATTGAACATTGTTAACTTTTCAGGTGGAAAAAATGTTGTTTACTTCAACTTTTTTGGTTAGCCGCCGGCTACTTATGCTCTTCTTTCCAGGAAGTTTAGCTCCCATTATCATGCATTCCTTTCTACTGAGCTGCAAAAACCAAGCCCCAGAAACTCGCTCTTCCTTTCTAATCCTCCGCTAATGGCTTCTCGGAGCTTCTTCTTCCTCCTCCTCTCTTCCTCACCATGACTCTTCGAAGTTCAGTCTCATCCACTGAATTTGTGTACAACAGAGACTTCAATTCCACCAACATAGTCCTCTCCGTTAATGCCACCATCCAAAACTCCATCCTTACTCTTACCAACCAGACCTTCTTCTCCATAGGACGCGCCTTTTACCCTTACAGAATACCCATGAAATCTCCGAACTCTTCCGCTCTTCTTCCCTTTGCAACCTCCTTCATCTTCTCCATTGCTCCCTGTAAGGGCTTCCCCACTGGTCATGGCTTCGCTTTTGTGCTCTCACCTCTAACGGGCATCACTAGGGCAACATCAGGAAACTATCTGGGTATTTTCAATCGCACCAACGACGGTGATTCTTCCAACCATATTTTTGGTGTTGAATTCGATGATTTTAGAAACGAAGAATTCAATGATATAAATGATAATCACGTGGGTGTTGATTTGAATTCACTTATTTCCTCGTATTCTCAACCTGCTGAGTTCTGGGATGGAGATCAATTGCAGGAATTGAAAATGGATAGTGGGGAGAACTATCAAGTATGGATTGAGTTTCTGGATTTTCGGCTTAATGTTACCATGGCCCCAGCAGGAAAACGAAAGCCTCAAAAGCCCTTGATTAGTAAGCGCATTAACCTTTCTGATGTTCTGTTAAATGAAATGTATGCTGGGTTCTCTGGAGCAACAGGACGAATGGTAGACATATGTAGAATCTTGGCTTGGAGTTTTAGTAATTCCAACTTTTCAATTGGCGATGCTTTGGTTACAAGGAATTTGCCCTCGTATGTGCATCCAAAGGAACTGATGGTTAGATCAAAAGGTTTCATTGCAGCAGTCACTATGGGCTCCCTGCTTGTAATCTGCTGTTGCTCGTTTGTGTTCCTGAGTTTATCTAAAACCAGAAAGAAAGGGAAAGAGGATGAAGAGAAGAACATTGAAGATTGGGAATTGGAGTATTGGCCACATAGGATTAGCTACCAAGATATTCATGATGCAACGAATGGGTTCTCTGAAGAAAATGTGATTGGGAGTGGAACAAGTGGGACGGTATATAAAGGAGTTCTGCAAGGAGTAGGAGTGGCAGTGAAGAGAATCCGTCATGACACCCAGTACGGGATGAGAGAATTTCTGGCTGAGATTTCAAGCCTAGGCAGGATGAAACACAGGAATCTAGTGGGTTTCAGAGGTTGTGTAAAAGAAAAAGAGGGAACTTGGTTCTGGTTTATGATTATATGGAGAATGGGAGCTTGGACAAGAGGGTTTTTGAGTGTGAGGACAGCATTCTGCTGAGCTGGGAACAACGTAGAAGGGTTTTACAAAACGTAGCTTGTGGGATTTTATACCTACATGAGGGTTGGGAAGTTGAGGTCTTACACAGAGACATCAAAGCAGGCAACGTGCTACTTGATAAAGATATGAATGCTAGATTGGGGGATTTTGGGCTAGCCAGATTGCATTGCCAGGAACAATTGGCTGACACAACAAGAGTGATAGGAACTCTGGGGTACATGGCACCAGAACTAGTTAGAATTGGGCGACCATCAAAAGCAAGCGATGTGTACGGCTTTGGCATTCTGGTTTTAGAAGTTCTTTGCGGGCGAAGACCTTTTGTGGCAGATAAGCCAGCTTTGATTGACTGGGTTCAGAGCCTAATGGAGAGTGGAAACTTGTGTACTGCTCTTGATGAACGTTTAAAGGCTCAAGGTGGGTTCACCATTGGGGAAGTTGAGAGAATGCTTCATCTGGGTTTGATTTGTGCAAGTTTTGAACCTGAAGTGAGACCAACAATGAGAGAGGTGGTGAAAGCGTTGGAGAAAATAAGCGGCGCCGAGTGTGATGAAGAGTGTTTTGATGGGAAGTTGCTTGAAAAAATAAACTCAGCAGCAATGTGGTCCAGGCTTCCTTCAAATTCTACTGAAAAAAGCTATCCGACCTTTGAGGAAATTATGCATTCCAAATATTATACCTCAACCACTATAAGCTGTTCTTATCATTCCCTCCCACCATCAGAAACATCCTACGTCTCAGAAGGAAGGTGAAAACTTTTTTAGTTCACCATGTTTTTCTGGGCCTGAATTTTCCTTCACCATGTTACTATCCTGAAGGTAATACTCAAAATCACTTCAAAATCATCCAAATATGTCATAGACTCATGGTCGAGGCATCTTAATAGGATCAAAGCCAATGAAACTTCATTCTGTATTGATTTCCCCTCCTCAATGTGTGTAAATACTTTTGAATTCTCGATTCAAACAGAAAATTATCACAAATTTAATGTTAATAGCAGAACCTGTGTGACACTCAAGCCTTGTGGTTTTGAATGTGGGAGGAGCAGAACTTAATAACATTAACTGGCACTATAATTGTTGAAACAGAGTGGGGTTGACAATGAAAGAAGTTGTTCAAAGCGGTGATTGGTTTTTGGTGAATTGCTTCAAGGTATATCGCAGGAGTATCTGGAAAATGCGCAAACTTGCATGCAGATATTCTTTGACATGGTTTAAAGTTAGAGACATGAGATTTCTTTTTACCACATGGGAAGGGTTCTGACTCCGATGGCTATGAAATCATGAATTTCATCTCAATCTTAATCCTAAATAATGAGAACTCAAGGGACAGGGCAAACAAACTTCATTTGCAGTTCAAAGTTGTTAAAGAATCGGGTAAGTAAACGCTCAAGCACAAATGAATTACGCCTCAATCTTGGATGAGATAAATAAATATTATAGACATTAAATGCTGAAATAATTAAACGGTCCGATATTCTCAATTACCTACAGAACAGCCTAATCGTTCCACCTTCGGTTCGCCACCTCCTACATTTTCTCAATTTCCCTAGTTAAATATGCTCTTACCAATAATGGCCTTTCTTCCTTGTTTTCGCTGTCAAGAGCGCTAACAGCACAAATCCATCAGAGTATTTTGGGCTTTTTGAAATTCATCGAGGTAACAAACAACGGTGTTATTGGAATCGAGTTCGATGCAGTTAATAATGATAAATTGAATGATATGAATAACAATTTTCCCATTGATATAAACTCATTTACCTCATTAGCTTCACATGATGCTGCGTATCGTGAAGGAGAAGATTTGATCAGTCGAAGTCTCCAGCGCAGGAAGGATAAAACACAGAAACCTCGTTCGATTAGGTCAGTGCAATAGAGAAAAAGGACACTTGATGCTTGTTTGTGATTACATGGAGAACGGACATTTGGACGAAACTTCAAATGTGACGAAGAGATAAATATCTTGAGTTGGAAAGAGAGGACTTAAGTCTTAAAGAATATAGCCATGAAATTCTGTATCTGCGGTGTTCTATTAGACAAGGATATGAATGCTAAGATTGGGGAGTTCTCGGTCAGCTTGCTTGCATGATCACAATTCACAAGGGACAAATAAGCCACCACGAGAAATAGGAGCTAATGGCTTTATGACTTTTTAAAAAAAAAAATAAAATAGAAGGCCATGAAAAAACTGTGTTAGGTGATATGTTATCTCACATGAGCATATAAAAAATTTATACAATCAAGAGGAAGTGTATTAAAAATATGAATGCTTAGACTGTCAATAGGAGCCTGACGGCTTTATGGGTTAATGGCATAAGGTTCAGTCCCACTCGCTACTTGAGGCAAAAGATTACTAAACCTCATGGATTTCGATTATGTTTTTGACAAATGATTTTTAGGGTTTGAGGCGCAGGTGTAAGGGTCTTGTTTTTGGCCAATGTGCTTGAGCCACGCGCTTACATTTAGTATTTACATTGAAGACAGAAGGCACATCAAGCATTACACTCAACCACATGCAAGATTACCCGAAGTAATGCCTCCGCGAAGCATGCTATTTAATTATCCTCGCAATTAGCTTTGTTATAAGGGTAGATCTATGCGAGAGAAGTTGTAGGGTGGAAGGAAGAAACAATTTCTTTGATACGGAAGGCTTAATATACATTATATACATTACAACGGGGCTCTCTTCCCCCTCTTCCTCTCGATGAGGATGGAAGATGAACAGTGTAGTCATGAATTACTTACCCAGCTTTATTACTAGAATTAAAGTGTGTATTTGACTAATTGGCATCTACTTTTACTTTGAATGAACTTTTTCGCCTCTTGACTTGTCAACTCTAGCTCGTCTTGAAAATTCCTGGATCTTTCGATCATGCTCTTTAAGCATCTGATCCATGTTGTTTGATGATACCATCAATGGACCCGAGAGATAGATCTTGTTTCCCCCGCCATACCCTTCCTGAAATAGGGACCGATATGCATATTCATCAGGACTCCAGGAAAAATAAGGACTTCCGCAGAAATTTGAGACAAAATGAAAGAAGGATATTAAATAAGAGACCGCCTTTCGGGCATCACAGACGCCCAACAGAAGCCTTTGCAGCCAAAAATATAGACAATTAGGAAACCGGTAATGAGAAACTAACCGGAGTTAATTCTTTAGTGGGGGTCCTTCCATGTTCTCCGTGACAGAGATCAATTCGCTGAGACTGGTGTTTCTGGGCCTGTCTTCTTCTTAACTCCGATCCACTAGTTGACTCCACAGGTTTTCGTGTCTCAACTCTTTTTCCGGGCTGTGATAAATGTGATTTTTCTTCCTGATCTTCAGACATTGAAGTCCTAGATGCAACTAAACCTGATAGTTTTGAAAGATTGACTCCGTTTGACCCAAGATGGCCCTCATCCACGTCCTTCCCAACCTTTATCCAGGCAGGACCCTGAACCAATGGACCTGAATGTGAAGAGATCCTGTACCCAGAGAAATTATTTTCCATTTCCTTGACATTGTCTGACTGCTTGTGTGGAAAAACCAACAACCCAGAAGCAGATTCTCTGGAAGGATTGAACAATTCGCTTCGACTCCTTGAGCTAGAATGACGTCCTTGCTGCACAAAATAAGAACAGAAACTAAGACCAAAACAGACAGACATAGGAGGGCCGCCACAAAAACCAAAAATGGAAAGGTCAAACAACGAACATAGTTTTCTGGGTAAACATGGAAAGAAACTTGTTTGTTTGGGTAAATTATGTTTATCTTTCATGGCCTCTCTTCTCACAGCAATTGATGGTTTCGGTGTTCTAAAACACACCCTGCAAGATGGATGGTCAGCAGGGGCAGGACTTGCTCAAACTAAGAACTGGTAAACAAAGGCCTAAAAATCCATGTGTTGAAACTATAGTAAATTGTATTCATAAGTCAGATCAATTTGTTTATGATTCGGACTTTCACAATGATCTAACATCAAATCAAACTACTTAAATGACCTTCAAGTTAGATCTATACAGTTTGAACTCCAAAGCGCACAGGTTTATTCCTTTTTCCCAATTATTATCACACTCAATCCATGTACGCTATTAGTGTAGCACTAATAAGCAGCGTTCATCAAAGAAAGGTCATCCAGCTTTATTTTAACTAGGAAAAATATAAAAGAGAATCAGAAATTAAAATTCGAATCTTTCTCAGGTTACCTGCATTGACATGCGTGGGTCAGCATTGTTATTTGCTGCAAGCGCTCGATGTCCCTTTTCTGGTCTAACTCCCATGCCGACTTTCAGCTCCCTCACACCAACAGCTCTTTGCCTGGAAGGATGAGAAAAAAAAATAAAAAATTATACTTGTTAATGAGATTCTTAGCTAAACAGGAAAGGCTAGCCTTTACCACAGTTGAATTGTTCAAGACGCTAAGGATTTGACAACCACAAAACTTCAACTACCACTTCCAGAAATTTTTATATCGTGTCTGTTAAGCATACAAGGGGGGCCAATAATGATTTTTCTCTCTTGTACAAGTCAAAGATGGCAACATTTAAATCAATAATGGACAAGAAATCAAACTTTCATTACAATTCCTCAAATTTAGCCACAATTTATATTTCAAATGACAGCTAGCATTCTAAATCTGAAGCCAGTGTCATGACAGTAACATATAAATCTCATTCTTCTTTTCCTCAGATTAATAAGAATGAATCTATAGAAGGTACCTTCTGGTTGCTTCATCTCGCAACTTAGCATCAATCTCTTTGCTGGGAGGATATTTTGGTAAACTTGAAGGATCACAAGCAAGGGGTTCCATGGTAAAGAACTGTATGTAAAGAGGAAAAATATTCAACGTGGAGAATCATGTCCCTCAAAAGGTTATGAAGTAAACAGATGTTGAAAAACATCTTGTATGGCATGACAAAAAAGCGGGAGAACTATAATCCGCCACTTTTTACTTCATAGCATAGCAGTATGGTTTTAACGTAGACAAAAGAGTGGACGAATGAAGCACCATCTTTCACACAACTAATAATAGAACAAGTTTTGATGCAGGAAATGAAGGAAAAACAATAATAATGAAAAGAACAAGATGGCGGGATACTAGAAGGCGTTATTCTTAGAGTAAAATCAATGTATGTCAATATATATTTACAGATGCATAGAAAGGAGAACATTAAGAGAAAACAAGGTTAAAAATCTTAATATCTAGACTTTAATACACTTTTGGTTCCTCTAATATTGCAAAAGTTTCATTTTGGACCTTTTTTCTTCTTGTCAGGGCCCTCTAATTTTGAATGAGTCAATGAAGTCTTTCAATATTAAGAAATAATGCAATTAAGTCCTTTGGTTCTTTATATACACTATATTTGAGTTTGGTGACATGACAGAAAAAGGTGGAAAAGAAAAGCTTCATCAAACAGGTGCCCACGTTAAGATGAGTACATATCACATTGGAGAAATCACTGCACCTGCTGCTAACATAAACATGCATACCTCGCTTTGTAAAGCAGTAGCTGCAGTTCCTCGATGTGCAGGATCTATGGAAAGTAGAGTCTCTAATAGCCTCACAGAAGGAGGTGGATATTCCTGGAATGTTTCAGCAACACAACGTCTATAATGGTGTGGAGGCTTGAATACTGTTGAATGTGGTGACCGCAATTTAAGCCAGTAATCTTCAGATGGTGAACCACAAAGCTTAAAAATCCTATGTAATTGCTCAACCTGCATGAAACTAAAATTAATTTTCCAGCACATCATACATCCCTTCATCACTATACAATGAGCATGGGGAAAATAGGACTCAACAATCAAAACTGGTACATATGAGTTTGGAATTGTTTGTTAGCCAGTGGAATCCACTTATGACTCAATAGAAACATGACCGTTGGCTTTGGCCATGGTACCAAAGAAGACATGACAAGGATTGTGACGTTGTATTTTATTGAACTTAAATGAATATTATATATATATATCTCATTATAGATGTACACTCCGAAAGTTAACTTTTCGTTTATAATTCCAATATTCACATTATGCCAACATGATTCAACCATTTTCTTTCAATGTGTGTTGTGGATATCAATGGACATCCTGTGAAATATTCACATAGCAGGGAACAAAAGATCATTGACTGGTATGTGATGAACTGCGGAGACTAAATAAATGAACTAGATTGCCAGACACTATACCTCTGTCTTTCCGGGCAATATGGGCCTGCCAGAATATAGTTCCCCCAGTATACAACCAGTACTCCACAAATCCACTGCAACACCATAATGAGATGCCCCGAGTATAAGTTCTGGAGGCCTATACCAAAGAGTTACCACTCGGCTGGTCAATGGAACACTGTGATGGGGGTCAAAAAAGCTTGCCAAACCAAAATCTGCAATCTTTAAGATGCCATTATTGTCAATGAGAAGATTTGAGCCCTTTATGTCTCGGTGGAGGACACCACGACTATGACAATGATCCAATCCACTGAGAAGCTGCTGCATGTAGCACTTAATCTGACATAAAGAAAAAGCACTACTTACATCAAAGTAGAAAGCAAACATAGTTGTTTTACCAAAAATTCAAATAAAGACAGGCCTTCCCCATTGCCATATTTGACATAAACGTGAGAAAAATCTTATTCCAAGTAAAACAGAAGACTGAGAATACTACCTGTGGCTCTGAAAACTTAATGCCAGGATGTGAAACAAGTCCTGTAAGATCATGTTCCATGTACTCAAAAATGAGGTACAAGCTACGAGATGTCTGGGATGTTATCAAGCCCTCTAACTTTATTACATTAGGATGGTCAAGCAAACGCAGAACAAAAATTTCCCTTGCCATAAACTTGACACTCTCAGGATCAAGATTATCAAAGCGTACTTTCTTCAAAGCAACTGTCTTTTGGTAAGTCACATCACGTGCCTTATAAACAGAACTGTATGTTCCTTGGCCAATCTGCAGGGTAAGATGCCATCTCATGACTCATTGGAGAAAGTTAAATGGAGCATAATCACATACCAACACTGAAAAAGAGAAGGGGGGCAAAAAAAAAACAGTAGCTTCTGCAACTGGAATTCCCTTTTATCAAGGGAAAAAATGAAAATAAAACCTTTTAAACACCAAACCATTACACAACTATAATGTTTCTTCAGACCTTCTTCATTCTCAGAGAAGGAGGAGATGAAAAGTTGGCAACCACCAACACTGAATGCAGGAATACTAACAAATGCCGGATATGTAGAACAGCCAAGCGATGCTAGGCAAAATCATTCACACTTAATAAAATTGATTATCCTCTGTACATACAAATCTTAGGATATCAATGTTTTCTACTTCGCTCCAGTGATCAAATCTGAACAATCTAATTCATAAACTTTAAGGTATATAAATTTCCTAAAAAACAAATGCCTATCAATTTGAAGAAACTGATTCCAAGTACAACTTTTGCCACACAATATGATGATGCCAGAAAAAGAGTTTATTTGACATGATTTTTGGTGATCAAGTGCATTCACAAGGTAGCATTAATTACATTGCGGTCTAACTGCGATACAAACATAGACAGAGCAAAGGAAGTAACTTACTTTATATAACCTCTCAAAAGTATTAGCTCTCCGAGGTATCCATCCCTTGATCGCTTCACCAGCAACAGAAGATAGCCACGCTGGCCATCCTGCCGCAACTTGTTCTCCTTCTGTAGCGTTTGGTACTTTACCAAGACCAGGATGATTAAGAACGGTAAGTTCGGGTTTCTCAATTTTCTCCTCCCTAATTTGATCATTATAAAACTTCACCAAACCGTTGGGTTTCTTACTAACCAACGAAGCTTTTACATCTCTACCATCTAGCACATTTTTGGTCCAAACTCCCTCATCCCTTTTTGATGAATTAAGTCGTGAAACATTCAGCTCCGATGACCTTTTGCTCAACGATGACAATTTCGTTGTCAAACCTTCTCGGCTGTCTTCCACAGCTGAAGTCTTGGAGCATATGCAACCCATATTACTGCAGCGAGCTAAATTTCAAATATATTATCCTTCAGAAGTGAAGATCGCCAGCAAAAAATTCTCACCTACACGAACTCCTTCTTCAAGATTCATAAATAGCCACCAAATAATACTATTCTCAGAGGAGAGAATTGGGAACTTCTCCGCATAAGCTCATTACCCTCTACCGAAAGTTGCGACCATGAATCAAATAATTCAAGCTTCCCTCAACTCTGCAAATTTCTAACCGATCCAATTCAAAGAAAGAATGACTTGGCTTGAATTAATACGCAATTCAAGAACCCTCCAACAACTATACACCAAGAATTGTCAACTTTCAAAAGCGAAAATTTCCCAACCAGGAAAAAGAAGATTGTTATAGCACTAAAAGCTAAGAATCGCCTAGATAATCAAATAGTGGAAAGCGAAATACCTCGTGGACGTGTAAATTACGAGTAATGGTAAAGATGGATTAGCTTGAGAAGAAAGAATGAGTGGCTTGGCTCCCTTGGGGATAGCTGAAAGTTCAACGCGTATTCATAAATTAAAAGAACATTATCCTAGACGTCTTACGCCGGGTGTGCCCAGTGAAGTCAAAAGGCTCCACTCTATATCTACACAACCTTCATTTCAACAGCTTGAATCTCTGCGTCTTCCTTCTCTGTCAATGAACGATTGGCGTTTGTTTTGCGTTCAAAGCAGGTCGTTCAGTTCGGATTGGTATTTGAATGCTACAGTGAACGCGTTTTTATATTCCTTCGAATTTTCTCATATCTTCTTCCTCCTCCAGGCAATGGACAACACAACAGAGTTATTTTAAAACGATTAATCAATTCTTCGGCATTTTGAAGATAAGAATATGGAAGTTTAAGAAAGCAATCATTAATAACCCGAGGGAAAAAAACAGTGGTCAGCACCCGGCACATGAACAAAAAGACACGAAGTGGGATTTCTATATTCTGCTCGTTATCATAATCCCTTTGACTATAATTCGTATTAATTAAAGCATGGTAAACGACATTACAGTCTTCCAATGGTAATGCATCCAACCCATGTTTGGGTCGTCTTGATTTTTTTTTTTTGGTTAACATTTTAAAGTTAAAGATATATATTTAAAATGTCTTGTATGATATAAACTTTTTGAATGTCAGGACATTTTAATGCGGAAAAATAAGGGAATCTTTTGAATATGCATCCGTTTTAGTTGAATAATAAATATATAGGAATTGATATATCTGTGTTTGCTACTTGGTATGAAATATGAATGATAACAAAACATGAGGGACGGTTGTTCAAAATATATTTGCCATTCATTTTTTCCAAGGTCATAGTATATGACTAGCATGCAAGACCATAATAAGTTAGACCATAGTATGCATATGCACGAGTTGTTGGCAAAAAAAAAAAAAGCATGTGTATATATTCGCGCCAAGAATCAGGGAAAATTTAGAGTCTGTTTGTTTTTTTAAAAAAAAACTGCTTTATAATACAGTTTTTAAAATTTTTAAACAAAATAAAATAAAAATTCATTTAATTATATCAATTAAAAAAATTTAAAATTAAAAAATAGACTGATAGTGATGATTATATATAATTAATTGTAGTGACTAATAATAAAAATTGATTAAGGTAACTATAATTTTTAATAATTACATGTAGTGTATTTTAAAAATAAGAAAAATAAAACTAAAACAACTTAAAGTTGTTTCTATTTAAAAAAAACAAAAAAAAATTGAAAACAGTTTTAGAACAACAAAATGAAAAACATATATCCAAACAAATTTTTAATTTTTTTATTTTTAAAAATAAGAAAATAATATTTAAAAATAAAAAACAAACAGAATTTTCTAAGATTTTTTAGTTGTTTCATTGAACTCCATCCAACTTTTAGTGAGTAATATAATTTACATTCTATGGACCTGAGAGGGGCAGACCAATATTTAAAGTTCATTTTAGAATAATTAAGATAACTTGATGTCGTTCTTTGCAGGGGTGCACAGGTGCTTTATTTGTGTGTGCGCGCTTTTTTTTCTATTGAAATATGATAAACTTAAGTTTCAAATCGCAATGAAGTTTTGAAATTTCTAAACAAGAAAAAGTATGCATATTCTATATATATTTTAATAAAATGATATGATAGTTAGTTAATATTTTAATATTAAATATCGGAAATAAAAAATATAAATATAAAGATGAAGATGAATTTGTTGGTTAAAAAAAAAAAAAGATGAAGATGAATTTAACGGATTTTAAGTTTGGTTTGGAAACAAAGACAGGCATTGTGTAGAAGACAAGCTTTGTAGTGCGAGGAATTCATGGCGGAGGATAAGGAATATCAAAAAGTTGAAATAGGATAAATGAGTAAATAACATCATAAACCCAAAACCCAAAAAAAAAAAAAAAAAAGAGGGTAGGGGCAAGCGGAGAAAAGAAAGGGCGCGATAGAGTGAGTAATTTAAGAAAGGCTAACTTATTTAAATTGAGTTTACTTTTGGTCAGACTTATTCATATTGTGTAAGATCATCTTTGTTAATTTATAATTTACTTTAAAATCAAGCTAATCATGTGACTAACTTAGATGAATTATCGAGTCTGTAAAATTTACATAAATGAGATCTTAAGTTTTTAAAACTTAAAATGCTATAAAATTATTTTAAAAAATAAGGGTTTAGGTGCAATTTTATCCTTAAAGTATTTTTTTCAAGGAGCACCCAACGCTTTAACATTTTTATTAGAGCAATTTTATACTTAAAGTTATTAAAACAAAACATTTTTGCCCTTTCCATCAAAATTCTAACACTGATCTCAAACGTTAACGGTTAGAAAATTTGAAGGAAAGGACAACAATGTTCCGTTTTAATAACTTTAAGAGCAAAATTGCTCCAATGAAAACTTAGGATGCTGGGTACTCCTCAGGAAATACTTCAGGGGTAAAAATACACATTTATCTAAAAAAACAAAATCAAAGCAAAACATGCATACGAAAATATAGACATTGTACAAGATAAAATAATATCAAATTAAGACTAAAGTAGTAAAACTTGATCTTAGTACAATTTTACTGCAACATAAAATTTTGTGTTACGGCATAAATTGTGAAACCCATGACAACAAACTTTCGATGTACCTCAATTCTTCGTCCGACATCTAAATGAAGTGATCTAAATGTTAACAGAAAGATTTCTCCGAGCTCTAGCTAATGACACTAGTTTCACATTTAAATTATTTTTCAATCAAAAGTTGGATACTAAAATACAAACTCACTCATTTATGCTTTCAAAACATAACTAGGGTGTCCAAAACTCAATTCAAATGCCAAAAGTCTACACCAACCATTAGACCATACTCAATAGACTAAAACGAACTCATGAAATATATCACAACAATCAAACAACACACATATCATATTTTTACTGCTCAACTCCTTGATCACAAAAACATAAAGAAAAGTCAAATCATATAATTCTACATCTAAATAACCATCATTCACAAATATTATCACTCCTTACTCACACAAATATTTTGACTTTACTCAAATATCTCAACTAAAAAAATACCACATGTACTAGGGCTCAAAATACACATTTCAATACTAAATATTCAATTGTGCAAGTATAACAAAATATTAACATTTTAGTTGACAATATTATGACAATTACACATTAATCAAAAGTAATTGAAGAATTACAATAAGAAATTTGATTCCAAAACCTCATATGCCTTTTCCTTGTTTTGATCAAAGCTAACACCTATAAAATGTTAACTGAGTGATGAGTATAACCACTCAATAACTAAGGTTAATCTAGCTTATATAAATATATGTTAATTAATCATAGTAATGTAAGTGGCGTAATCAAATAAAGTGCATTCACACATTAAATCAAGTAATTCATTCACTCATAAAACTAGCAATCATGTAACATTAAATTATTTAGCATGCAAAGGTCATAACATTAACAACCATATGCCCTTTATGAAACATGCAAGACCATAAAAATAACAACTATGTGGCCATATAATGATATGCATCAAAACACATATGGGGTCATAATATTAACAACCATATGCCTCTGTCAAATTATGATAGGCCACAATAATAACAACCATATGATTGGGATATGATATGTATGATCAATGCTAACCTTATACTCTTTTAATACCTCTGATATAAAACTAATGGCTATTTAGTGGGCTATGCCCATGATCTCAAACTTCTCAAGCCTTTCACTAATGAGGGGTTTCCTAGCCAAAACTACTATACTCACATGTATGACATGATTTTTTCTAATACTAACAATTATGGAGTGTCGTACCTCTAATTAGTTACGTTTGAGTCCCTCAAAAAATAACTGTGACAGTCCTTATATAACAATGGGACAATGACTACCTCCTAATTCTAATGATTAGCAGTCTGACTAACTTTTTTTTCTAACAGTAAACCGCCAATACCACATGAATTTACAACATTTACTACTCTCCTTATAGGCAAAATCCCATCTCATATAATCATACCATGCACAAATGTTTAACACTTAGCAAGCAAATTCATACTCACTAATAGCATGAAACTTTTATTGACATCAATATTATCATATTATGTTTATCATCACGAACATAATCATACTCAACAATTCACAATTTTTTTTTCATATGCATCCTTATACACTTTAATATCTACTCATAACAATAATCATATATAAAAAATATTTCTCACAAATATCATTCACATCGATTTTATCACATCATACAAACTTATTTATATTGTCACAACTTGCATCAAATATAGTTTTATAATATATCAAGGTTTTTAAATAAGTCTTTTTACAAATGATTAATTAGTCAAGCAAATTCGCAAGCTAAATTTTTCCCAATTATCTTGAACTTTTGAGAGGTTAAAGGTTATCTGTTAATCATAACTTGCTTTTCGAGCTAAAATCAAGCTTATCGATACTTTATAAGGTTAGTCTACAATTAACATTAATACCCACCACTGATAATAATAAAAATCATCACTTCAACATCTAATTTATACTTTAATAACCAAATTTCTTAATTACAAGATCAACTTTGCATCCAATGAGTTCATTAATTTCAATTAACTTAATTTAGCTCTCGACAACTTAAATGCTCACCAATATATCATTTAATAACTCAAAATCATCAATGTCATAAATTACTCACTTCTAACTCTCAAATTTAAATACTTTAATCACCCAAAACTCTCAACTCCTGAGTTGAATCACCATATTAGCTCCCATTAACTCCAACTAACACTAGCACAAACCTTAGTCAACTTCAATGGCAGTCACCTACCTCAAGCATAATCATTTATGACATTTTACGGCATAATTTTGTCCATGCTAACGAGCCTAAGCTCAAAGATGCTCAGACTCATCAAAACTAGGTTTAAACAATTATAACAATTATTTGTCTTATTTAGACTAATGGGTTCAGACCCATAGCTCTAGGTTCAAAAATCATCATCTTCCAACCTCAAATCTCATTTCCAAAATGTGTAGAGAGAAGAAAAAGAGATAAGGAAGAAATCATACTTTAATCACCTTTAAAATGCCTAAAAGTTGATGCTCTAGTAAAGCAACTACTCTCTCTATCACCCTTCCTCTATTTTATGGTGTTTTCCTATGTTAAAAATTAATTTTGAGAATTATATTGCAACATAATGCACTAGGCCAAAATCCAATCTTTTTCTACAATTTGAGCTCAAATGACTCAATTCACTTTCGAATCTAATCCAAAGGCTAAAGCCAAACTCAATAGCTATCTGTAACTATCCTCAAACTATTTATACTTAAATTTATATATTTACCTTTCATTAGTTTAATTAATCAAGGGAATA